TTGTCGAACGGTGAGTAAATAAAAAAGTTGAAGTTTTTTTTTTGTTTTTTTAATTTTTCTTAATTGTAATAAATAATAAAATTAATTTAAATTTAAATTAAAGTTTTTTTATATAGTTATAACAAACTAATTTTCAAATCCAAAACGTTTAATATACGTTTAATATAAAATCCAAGACGTTTAACTACATATATTTAGTAATAACTACATATATATACGAAATCAATCATTTAAATTATTAGGATTTTTTTTTGGAAAGTCTCATTATTTGGATCCGAAAGACTTAATTGCGGGTCAAAATCCGGATCAAATTCAGGATCAAAATTAAAAAAACAAAAGACCTGAAAAGAGCAAATATGTATTTACTTTAGATTGTACACATAATTTTTTCTTCATCGATTCAGTAATATATGTCCGTTTTAAAAAAATTTGAATCATAGCATATACAGAAAAAAAATCTAAACTTTTATTAACTATGTATATTTTATAATAATTCAAAATAATATAAATATAAGATCAAATAAAAGTGAAATGAGAATAATATATTTATGTTTAAATTAGCTAGAGATGTTTTAGGAAATTAGCTCAAAGTTGTTATATTAGCATTAAATCATCATATTTGATTTCCTTATCTATAAAAATCGTAAAGAAGATGTCATAAAGAAAGAGTTTAGGTATAGTAATTAGTTGAGAAAATATATATTTTTAGATTTTATTAATTATTTTCGTTTTTTAGTTTGCCAAAAAATAAGGAAATATCCGATTGAAGATTTCCGGGTTAAAATCTTTAAAAAACCTGATCCGATTGAAGAGAGCAAATTTGTACTTCAAAAATGTTAAGTAGATACACCCCCCTAAATGTATTGAGAAGCTCTCTGAGAATGACACGTCAGCATGGCATTTTTGTTAATCACACATGAAGATAAGGTTATTTTTTAAAAATAGTTCTCAATTAATATATAAGGGATTATGTATTTCAGTTGTTCTAAAATAATGTTGTTTCTGAAAAATGAAGTGATGTATTATTATTGTTTCTGAAAAATGAACTAATTAATTTATAATTATTATATGTTTTCAACATCAATAATATTTACTTATATTTATTAATGTTTATGTTAATTACAGAAATGGATCAAGATTCAAACAAAATAATAGCAAGAGAAAATATCAAAGAAATTTGTATACCAGTTAGTGGAACAAGGCACACTATTGTGAGATATCAGAAATTTTTCTTTGAATTAAAACCGACAAAAATTATTGTCAATACAATATCGGGTCCTACAGACTTGATTGAAGAAAGTGGCAAAGCAAATTTTAAATTGCCTAATGGAACATAGTTTTTCATAAATAATGCCTTATATTCTCCGAATTCTAGGAAGAATTTGTTGAGTTTCAAAGAAATATACCTTCAAGGATATGAAACTCAGTCTGCAACTGAGGATGGAAAGAAGTATATGTATATGAATTCTAATAAATCTGGAAAATGACATGTATTGGATAGATTTCCAGAACTTCCTTCTGGTCTGCATCATACCTATATAGATGCAATAGAATCACATCTTGTGATCAAAAGAAATCCAGAAGATTTTGTATTATGGCCTTGGTCACCCATGCACCACAATGATGCAAAAAAATCATAGAGATACTACAAGAATATTGAGTTTTAATAGCATTACAAGACAGCCGTTTATATGTTTTTGCTATGATTGACTTGCCTCTTACTTTTTTATAGCGTTTTCAATTTAACAAACGCTATGATATGTAATGTCTGTGAAAAATGTCATTTATTTTGACCAAATCCGCGTGAAAATTTTTAATTGTCAAAATTGGGCCGCTTTTCTCTCTTATTCCTTTTATTTATTTATTACTTTAACCTAATAACATTATTAACTTCTTCTCTAAACCTAAGTCTTTTTCTCCTCCTCCCAATTCTTCTCCTTCCTCTCCCGCCGCACACACACACTCCATTGACACCACCAATGCCTTCTTCTCCGGTAACTCTCTCCGTCACCAACCAGCAAGCTACACAATCTCAACCTTCGATCAGTTCTCATACTTTCCGTCCTTTCCTCTCCTCGTAATGGCTGCTCTCACCGCCGTCCATGGATGGATCTCGTAGATCGGAGCTCCTTTGCTAGACTTGACCCTCTCTCCAATCTCTATACCCAGATCTGTAAGAATCTCGCTTACTTCAGTGTTTAAATTCCTTAGATCTGCTCAAATCTCTTCTTAAAATTGAAGAGAAAGAGACTCTAGAGTCTCTTCTTTTCTTCTTGTCTCCTCTTTTCGCTTCTTAAACCAATTTCTCGTGGAGAAGTTCTTCGGATTGATTGGGTTATCTTTTCCTTTCGTTCTTGTAGTTAGAGCTCACATGGTCACTCATTGAAAAATAATGAGTTGAATAATGGAAATAAAATGACATTTGCAGCGTGTTCTCTTGGAAATTGATCATAAGGCCATCGCCAACCAAAATTGATAAAAAAATCACCAAAGTTCCTTGAACGAATTCAAGGCGACATTTGTAGACCGATACATCCATCATGTGGACCATTCCACTATTTTATTGTAATGATTGATGCATCTAGCATATGGTCACATGTTTATCTATTGTCATCTCGAAATTTGGCATTTGCGAGATTTATAACTCATATAATCAATTTAAGAGCTCAGTTCTCTCATTATTCCATGAAGAGAGTTAGACTAGACAACGCTGGTGAATTCACATTCCAAGCATTCAATGATTATTGTATGGTAACGGGAATTGAAGTTGAACATCCTGTAGCTCATGTTCGGAAAGTCGGCTTTTTCATACCTGCACAAATGAAGTGTGTTGAATTCATACATTTGACTTCTACGTGTGCTAAATCATACATGCACTTTTAAGAAATTTGAATTTCAAACCCGAAGTTAACTTTTTGTGTCAAATCCTACAAAAACGTACAAAATATTTAACACTGTTAACCCACCGTGAAATCGCAGTGACGTGGATTACACGTGTACAACGTCAACATAAAATGACGTCGTTTTACTTAAAATCAAAATTTCAAAAAAATAGACATTTTAGGTCTCAAACCCATGACCTCTAATATGCAAAGACAACTCATAACCAATATGCTAACCGAATTCTCATTGTATGTCTAACCAAAACTATATTTATAACCTTCTTTTTCTTTTTCTTCTTCTTCTCCCATACGACGGCTGCTCCACACCTCCAAAGCGGACATCGTTTTGCTCATCAATTCACATTCGTCGGGTTCGAGATTCACCGAATTGATCGAAGAAGAGAACGACTCCTTCTTAAAACTCATCGATGTTCATAAAAATTCAAATCAAATCGACTAGGTTTGGGGATTTCATCTGACCAAACTCATGAAGAAGCAATCGAGCAAGAGGGAGACGTCATCATCTGAGCCAATTTGGAGGAAGAAGAGCCATCGAACTAGTAACTACAACGAATTGTCGTTTCAACGAGAGTTTGTGGAGTTTAACAACGATGTGAAACTGGAGAAGAAAGAGGAGAAGAGGAAGAAAAAAGAAAAAGAACCCTATAAATAAAGGTTTGGTTTGTGATACAACGAGAGTTCTGTTAGCATATTGGTTATGAGTTGTCTTTGCATATTAGAGGTCCTGGGTTTGAGACTTAAAATGTCTAATTTTTTGAAATTTTGATTTTTCGTAAAACGACGTCGTTTTGCGTTGACGTTGTACACGTGTAATCCACGTCACTACGATTTCACGGTGGGTTAACAATGTTAAATATTTTGCACGTTTTTGTAGGATTTGGCACAAAAAGTTAACTTCGGGTTTGAAATTCAAATTTCTTAAAAGTGCATGTATGATTTAGCACACGTAGGAGTCAAATGTATGAATTCAACAGACTTCATTTGTGCAGGTATGAAAAAGCCGACTGTCCGCTCATATTCATACACAAAATGGCTTGGCGGAATCATTAATTAAACGTATGCAATTGATTGCAAGACCATTGATCATGAGATCAAAACTTCCAACCTTTGTATGGGGATATGCCATTTTGCATGCAGAAGCACTCGTTCGGATAAGACCAAGTGCATACCATAAATACTCTCCACTACAATTAGCATTTGGTCGAGAACCAAATATATCCCATTTAAGAATTTTTGGTTGTGCGGTGTATATGCCTATAGCACCACCACAACGTAAAAAGATGAGACCACAAAGTAGGTTGAGAATATATATTCGCTGTGATTCTCCATCAATTATAAGATACCTACAATCGCAGACTGGTGATGTCTTTACGACACGATTTGCAGATTTTCACTTTGATGAGAAAGTATTTCATGTTCTAGGGGGAGAAAATAAGCAAGTAGAAAAAGAAATAAAATGATGTGTACCATCCCTGTTACACCTTGATCCTCCTACAAAACAGTCAGAAAAAGATGTTCGACGAATTGTGCATTTGCAAAGTATAGCAAATCAACTTCCCGATGTTTTTGCAGATACCAAAACGGTAACTAAATTATATATACTAGCTGCAAATGTTCCTGCTCGAATTGAAATACCACAAGAATGTGGAGGAGCAGTTGATACACGTGAGTCTAAAACACGCTTGAAACGTGGTAGACCAGTTGGTGCTACGTAGGCCTGTGCATAATCTTCGAAACCCAAAAACCCGACCCGACCCGAAAAAGAGGTTTGGGTACGGTTTCGATTAGACTCTTTAAACCGAACAGATAATATGATTGATTTTCAGCAGGTTCGGTTTCGGTTCGGGTGTAAACCAAAACCCGATCGGTTAACCGGCCATTTATTGTATACACATACATATAAGGATGTGTGTAGTTAAGAGGAGTAATCATATATTTACAAACCCAAAAATATCGAGACTCGAGAGCACATATCTCCGATTTCCGATATTCTCTCCGATTCTCTAGATTGTTTTTGCCGTTTCCACTTCTCCACTCCATTGATTTGTTTTCCATCTTAAAGCCTATATAAACCCCTAATTGGCAAACCTTGAAACCCTAATTCCCCTAAAACGATTCACGAGAAAGAGCTGCTAAACCTACTCTATCAGCTTCTTCGACAAATCAATCGTTGGTTTGTGTTTCTCCTTTCTCGTATTCTCTTATTCAAGCTTTGTAATTCTGTCATTTCTGGATTTCAGTTTCTTATGTTTAACAATAGGTTTGTGAATTGTGACTTTGTGTGAATGTGAAGTTGTGTAATTGTGAAGTATGTAGCCGTAGGAATCTGTAGTATGTAGCCGTAGGAATCTGTTCCATTTTCTCGATTATGTTGCTCACTTATCAATCTATCTTCTCTGTTCTCTAATTAAGACAACATAGATGCAGCATTTTTATTGAGAATTTGAGATTTTTGTTTCGTTTAGTGTCATTAGTCTCATTTGAAATTGTTTAACTTTTTGATTTTTGAGACTGAGCTTTGAATTTAACTTTTACTTGTGATATTCTTTGATTGTTGCAGATGGGTTCTTTTTCACCTCCTCAACGACAACAAGATGAATATCAGAATCAGAATGATGATGAATCCGAGAGAAGTGAAGATGATGTGGTGCAACCTACTCATGAATCTAGAAACAAAAGGAAAGGACATTGTGATACTTCAGGAAAATCTAAGGCAAAGAAGAAAGGTACTTCTAAGTTCTTCTAGGTCATGGGTATGGGATCATTTTACAAGAAATGCGAAGAATAAGGATAAGTGTACATGTCATTACCTGTGCTAGAGTTAGGTGTTGTGCAACATCCAATGGTACTTCTTGTTTAAAGAAACATCTAGATATCTGCAAGGAATACCAAGTATGGAAGGATAGTAATGCTCAGAGTCAGCATATTTTGAATCCTATTGGTAATAGTGGAAGTGGTAATGGGAATCTGATATTAAGTGTGCTTTAACCCATATAATGATCTCTGCAAAAAAGATCATTATATGGGTTAAAGCAATCTCGACGGATGTGGTATAATAAAGAAATCTCATGATTTTCTTCAAGCTCATGTTGCTCATCATTGTTATTAGACTCATGATTCGTTTCTTCCAAAATGTTTTATGCTATTTTGGGAATATCATGATTCGTTGTGTGCAATAAAGTTGCAGAGATCATTATATGGGTTAAAGCAATCTGGACGGATGTGGTATAATCGTCTCAGTGAACATTTAACGAAAGAAGGATATGTGAATGATCCTATATGTCCAGGTGTTTTCATATAGAAAACAATATCCGGGTTTGTTATAATCGCGGTATATGTAGATGATCTAAACATAATCGGAACTCAAGCAGAAATACAGAAAGCAACAAACTATTTAAAAGGGGAATTTGAGATGAAAGATCTCAGATAGACAAAAATTTGTCTTGGCCTACAAATTGAACATACTCAAAAATCTAAATTCCCAAAAGAGTGTTAAAACGTTTTAATATGGATAAGGCAACTCCTCTCAGTACTCCAATGGTCGTTAGATCAATTAATATTGAGATTGATTCATTCAGACCACCTGGAGAGAATGAAGACATACTTGGTCCTGAAATACCGTATCTAAGTGTATCTTGCAAATTGTACTCAACCTGATATATCATTTTCAGTCAATCTTTTAGCTAGATTTAGTTCATCTCCTACACGAAAACATTGGAATGGGATTAAACATATCTTTCGTTATCTTCAAGGAACTATTGATCTAGGGTTATTTTATCCTAAGAATATAAATGGTCAAATGATTGGTTTTGCAGATGCAAGATATTTAACAGACCCACACAAAGCTCGATCACAAACAGGATATGTATTCACGATTGGAGGTACCGCTATATCATGGCGTTCTCAGAAGCAGACACTTGTGGCTACTTCTTTGAATCATGTTGAAATCATCGTACTCCATGAAGCGAGTAGAGAATGCGTATGGCTACGATCAATAAGTCGACACATTCAAACAAGTAGTGGAATTCGCCTGAATACGGAGCCAACTATCGTATATGAAGACAATGCTGCATGTGTTGCTCAGACAAAGGAAAGATATATCAAAAGCGATAGAACCAAACATATCCTTCCAAAGTTCTTTTCATACACCCAAGAACTCGTGAAAAATAAAGACATTGAAGTAAGATATGTCCGATCATCCGAGAATTCTATTCATCTCTTCATAAAATCATTGCCCACTTCTATGTTCAGGAAACATGTTCATAACATTGGAATGCGTCGTCAATAAGACTTGTAAGTTATGATCCTTATCATTCGAGGGGGAGCTTCCGCGGTTGCACTCTTTTTACCTACTATAGTTTTTCCCACCGGGTTTTCCTAGAAAGGTTTTTAACGAGGCAACAGAAGATATTACGCAAGAGACATAGTGACACTGGTCTCCAAGGGGTAGTGTTACAAAAGTCACAAAAACAAACGTCAAAAATACCAAGCGTCAACAATAGAAGCTACACGCGGAAAATATTACGAGTAAAATATAATTTGTGTGCAGCCCACGTCACTATGCACGCACAGTAATTTACTTTTTTACTTCTATATAAATGATCGTTCGAATCATTGTAAGATACACAACTTCACTTCAATAATAAGAAGTTATAAAAAATATCTCTCATTCTCTCGTCTCTTTATTATTCAGTATCCGATTCTTCTGCGGGTATAAATTATTTCTCTATTATTTATATTTATATACAACATAAAAATAAAGTAATTATTTATAACAGTAATAAATATATAACATTTACATTAAGGAAGAGGTGAGTGGTTTTGGAAAAAAAAGAGAGGAGTGTGGAGACGAGTAAGAAGATGGAAAAGGAGAGGAGAGACTAAGAGAGTTAGAGAGACAATAATAAAAGTATGTGTAGAAGAAAAATTATCATGTATATAATTATTTTTTATAATAAAAAAATTCAAAAATAAAAAAAACTATGTATTCTTCATTACGGATTTGGTTGGACCGCAGGATAATGGATCTGTAGAATTTTGAAAAGCGGTTCAGAGTTATTATGCTTTCGAAGAACGCAATCTGTTGCTTTTTTCTTTTTTTTTTTGTAAAAACTCTTATTTGTATAGAAAATTGTTGATTGGTGTATAAAGTGAGTTTTTCCAAAACCGTTTTTAAAATCCGTGAATACTATAACACCAATCACTACCTATTCTGAACCGCTTGTTACGCAGTAACCGCACTTGTTCCGCATGATGCGTTTTTTTGAACTGTACCACAGTAAAACCGCATCGCATCTCTAAAACCGCTTATCACGTATCGCTCAAACCGTTGTCACCATTCGGAGTCTTAGGTAGTGAATGAGCAACGCGTTTTACCAACCCCGGCCCAACAATAAACAAAGTCTTAGGGCAAAAAGAAAAATGTTTAGGCCTTCAACTAAATATATATTCATATATTCAGCATAATCTATACTAAAAAAAATATTAAGGGCCTTATTCTATTATTTTTTTTCACAAAAATGGGTCTTTTGTCTAAGGATTTTTTTTAAAAACGTATGGGCTTCCAGGCCACGCACCTCTGTCCTACCCCTTTGAGCCGGAGCTGTGTTTTGCTGTGGAACTAGAATGTAAAGTGTCACCATTCAACCCATCTTTTGATTTTTAAGATTTTAAATAAAATAATACAAAAACAAAAGTTTTATACTAGGTGCGGTTCTATTTATCTTGTATAGGTGCGGTACTAAAAAAACTAGTGAAAATGTATGTTTCAAATCTCACTGTGTGGTCCAACATTTTTTATTTTATTTTTTTTTAAATCTGAAAATACAACTAAGTAGGCCTCGGACTTATTATCCGAGATTTGGGATCCGCTCCGATCCATTCCGAAAATACGATATCCGGACGGGCGAATCCGGATCCGGATAACAACAAAACTTTGAACCGGATATCCAGATCCGGTATTATTATGTATATGGGCTTTAATTTTAATACCCACTAAATATATCTAACAACCCATAATTTATAAGCCCCATATATTATGTAAATATCAAACCTATAAATGTTAAAAACAAGTCGACACCGTTTTGGACTTTTGGGACAAACATGAATCTGGGGGATATTAGGGTTTTACGAGGGATTTGACGTTTGGGAGGCAAGATTTGAGATGAATGTTGTGACGGAGGAAAAAACTCGTGTGGCGTGGTGTTTACACGGTGGTTTGTGGTGGTAAAAAACGTCGGAAGGAAAGAGAAGAACGATTGAGCCGTAGTGGTTGAGAAGACGAAGTGGAGGAGAATAAGCGGCAGAGTCGTCTCTGGATTGTGGCGGTGAATGACGTTGGGAGGGAAGAAAAGTTAGATTTGAGTCGTAGATGGTGGAGAAGACGAAGTGGAGGAAAATAGGTGGCGGAGTCGTGAGAGACATGATTTTGAAGGACTCGGTTTGAGCGAGATAGAGATGAAGACAGAGAAGAATGAGATAGGAGAATAAACGTGATTGATGAGTATTTATTCCCCGATACGTTGTAGATCTTTCGGATCCGGATATCCGCGGATATCTGGTTATTTTTTCGGATATCCGGTTTTCGGATATCTGGGTTATGCGGATCCGGATCCGGATCTGGATACACCAAAAAAACTGGATATTTGGATCCATCTCAGGGCTACTACAAAGCGTATATAGAGCAAAATATAACCAATATAATTAAAAAGAATACATGTAAAGTCACGTAAAATAAAAATATCATGCAAAATGATTTTCCCCTACCTTTTTAATTTTTAATACTTTCTTAGGATAAAATTAATTTCTTTATATCTTTAAATATATAATTCAATGAAATTAATTTCCTGTAGGAGATAATATCATTTAAATCTTGATTTTGAAAGTGTTTTTTTTTTTTCACTTAAGCAAAGGTCCAAAAAGCAAACATTCCAAAAAGCAAACACCAAACAAAGGTCCAATAGAACAGTATAAGATGTTTCTACTTTGATAGGATAAAATTCGCTAATTAATAGTGATAATGGTTTGGATGTCATTCCCCAAAGATACCGTGAAAGTGCCCTTGCCCCTGATCACTATTTGATAGTGCAGATTTCTCTTTCGACCATGCCTAGCTTAACGGTGAATCTCTTCTTTCTTCCGGCGACCGAGAACTTGAGGTAATACGTGCAACGAACCTTCTTCTTCTCTTTGTTCTCATCTAGTTCATTTATCTCTGTCATGTCCACATACTTAAGTTGTGCAAACTTGCATCCATACTGATCCTTGCCTCTCGTGATCTCCCTAGGTATGTTGAACTCCTCTTTGATGGCTTTAAAACCCTTCCTTATGTAGTTGCCACCAACAATTTATTTGTATGTACCTTTGAAGATTTTCTTGAGTGCCGACAAGTTCTTATTAAGCCAAATCGTTGGAGGCTTTGAAGCTTCCTTCTCTTCCTCTTCCTCCTCTTCCTTCTCTTCCTTCTCTTCCTCCTCTTCCTTCTCTTCATTCTCTTTCTGATAAACGTCATTTTTGAAAGTGTTTAAAATTTAATTTTTTGAACTAAATATATTAGATTATATTCATTTGATTACTACATAATATTGTAACTAACTATTTTTTCTACACTTGTAATATGTAAATAATATTAGTGAATAATAATATTATTTTCAATTATTCCAACTATGTGTATGCATGCATACGTCTTTATCTTTCTCTGATGCTTTTGTAATACTTAAAATTAATATTTTTTCTATTATTAATTTATTTATAATTATCATTTTGTGCTTAACATTAAATTTCAAAATAATATATTAAAAAATAAACAGTTTTAAAAAAGTAATAATATAGTAAATAACAAATTTATATTTTTGATCCTAAATTAATCAACTAATTAAAT